AAAAAAAAGATTTAAAATTACATCACGGGAAAATATGAAACTTCAAACCTTCTGCATTTACACGTGGTATGCAAGACCACCATCATCTTGAACCTGTTCCCACAAATGACTCAATGCATGAACCGAATATATTTCTCTACATAGGGTCGTCCAAAGAAGAAAATAAACGAAAATATGTTTGTATAAATATAGGCATGTTAGAAATTTCAGCATGATTGATAAAGTGTTGTAATACACGAATGTAAATAAATAATAAAGAAAAATGAAATATGTAGATTTTGAGAAAGTAGTCCGGCATGATGAAGCGTAATCGAATCAAAACAGACAGAGCAAGATACATCATGATTGTTTGTAATTGCGAAGCCTTCCATTTTCCATAACTCTCCAAGTCTCGAGGATAATGATTGAATGAATGAGGATATTCAATTTCATCAAGACAATTATTAATAAAAGTTAATGCATCTGAATTGCGTTTAATGATGTCATACCAATCGCGTAACAAAGATCTGTAATACACAATCATAGAGTAAGGAATGATTACAAGAGACCAGTTGTAGCAAACACTAGAAATTGGTTATGCAAACTTCGATGATCATGAACCAGTGAAGAAAAATTGATAAAGATTTCTTATAAAGTACAAAAGCGAAATGAAACTTGTAATTCAACCATAATTACTCAAGGAAATAGGAAATTTATTTTTATTATCATTGTTATAGAGTTTAAACTGCTCATTTTAATGAAATTCAAATGTGTAAAATAGCAAAAAAAAGATCAAATAGATTAAAAAACAAGTTAGTTGAAATTTCAGGAAAGAAAAAGCTTTGATGATATGATTCTAGTCACTTACAAAAAATTAATTTCCCCGACATCAAGTGAAAATAATCGAAAGTAGATTATTGCGGCATCGATAACAAAGAGAACAGTGAAGAAATACCGACAACACCAAATAGACTTTTGTTTGAAACATCAATTCGTTTAACACATTCATTAATACGCTCTTGTGTTCATTGTGGTGGCAATCGGATGAAATCTGTTCAACGATACAAAGTATGATGACCATATGATGATGGACAACGTAAACCTTTCATCAATCATCGGAAGCAAGCATAATATCCATTATGATTGACTAGTTGATTAAATTTTAAACGAGCTGGTAAGTCGTTACTAATCAACTGCACGTCCGCAGAGAAGTGCTTCATTTCTAAAAAACAATTCAACAAAGTTAAATGCAAACATCAAAAGCTGAAAATAGATTATTGTAACAGAGAATATTAAATGATTTATTAAGCGAAATTGCCACTTAGTTTTAGAATAAAAACGAAATGATTCAATTATTTCTTTTGTTCTTAAACAATCACTGACTTACTATTGTTAATTTGTACATTGATTCCACTAGCTTTCAACAATTTCAAATTTTTGATAATTTTATCCAATAATATAGAAGCAGGTGGAGCTACGGAAGAATGCCATAAACCAAGTAAAATACTGTTATTAATATATTCACGAATTGGATGAGAAATTTCGACGATAAACGACATGATCTAAAAACAATAAAACAAAATCATTCATAGCGATTTGAATCAAGACACTGACGGGCCAAACACTGCTTTGTGTTTGCTTCGATTTGATGATTGGTTTACCGTCTTTACTAAGCATTAAAGTTAACCGAGATGCACCGACATTTCCTAGTTATTTGTAAACACACAGCCTGAAAAAGAAAGAAGTTACAACATCATTTTTAAAAAAAATGTAGTCGTATATGTAACTTACTATTCATGATATCCGAAGCTATTTAATTCTCTTGTAGTTGATATCATAGTATTAATTTGATATTTGCTGCAACAACTCATTCAATCTCATCTGCTAATGAGAAAACATAGAGGTCAGAATTATATTTTTGCTCGTTGTTGTACATGATCCAAATATCTTGAATTTTTTTCAATTGTTCAAAGCAATTGGTACAGAAAATAAATATTTCATAATAAAATGAAATATTGAGCTTTTTCCACAATAAATCTGCTATTGTTGTTGTTGGAATACCACGAATGTTCAATATATTTGCTAATCTTAATAACGATAATAATGAAGCAGTTGTCATTTTGTTTAAATTTGACTGTCAAATAAATTCTACAATATGGAAAAAAATCTTTGATGTTTTTCATTTTCATTTTTCATTAATGTATCATTGTCATAATATTTTATCAAGTCATTTCGTTTCCAAGTTCTATAATCGAAACAAAACGGAGCAGTGGTTCTTCATTGTAATTTATTAGTATTTCCCTTTAATTTGTATTATTTATATTATGTCATTCCGTTACAGCTCTAGTAAAAAGCTCCATAAGTTTCCACTCTACTATTAATATGTGACAAGAGTATGTTAATTTGAACTTATTTTATTTAAGCCTAGATAGATATTAAAACCAGAAAAACTAATTGCGCTTGAAGATTTAAGTAAGAGTGGAGTAAAGTGAAGCATTCGGTCTTTATTGTCAGATAGTCTTATATGAAATGAGCAAAAAATAATATGCTTTCGACAAGTTTTAATACTAGACTCTGCATGGCTACGAATTTACGAAGAATAGCTTTAACATAGACTCTAAGTCCGTTAAAGTGTGGAGTCTTTGCTGTTCTCTTTGGAAAACTGTATTGTAAAAATCACAGATCATGCCGAAATTGAAAGTCAGCATACCAGAAAAACTACGAAGCCGTCACAGACATCCAAATCTCTGTCGACAAACTAAAAGAGCATCAAAAGGCAGAATTTTCACAATTTTCAGAATCAGATAAGGAGATAGGATCATGTTTCTCACGATATCCTTCAATATCTATTGATAATAATGTGTCAGCAAGGCTCCTGAGTGGTGAAACCGTAGTCTTGAGTAATTTGTACAATGATTCAGAGACAGGTATGACTCATATAAGACGAGAAAACTTCACGATGACTCATGTCGGTCTACTGGCCGATCCGGTCAAGAAAAGCCCTATCGGTTGCAATACTGACATGCAAAATCTTACGTTTCACGGTTGATTCTCATACTTTGGTGAAACTTACATATATTTTCGAAGAAAATAATGAGTGTAAGTTTTAAGTTCAAGTTTTTGCGGCTCCCCTTCCCCCTCCCCTTACAGACACTCTCCATTCCAGATCTTAGCAATTAAGAATAACAGGCGTCAGACTTTCTAGCTTTTTTGAAAAATTGATCAAGTTAGAATTTTGAAAGATAACCAACATCATTGTTTGTGAGTTGATTAATATATATACTAGTGCATAAGATCTGCTGTAGATATAATGAATATGTGTAAAACAAACATATTTGACAATTAATTCAATGATTATAATAATAAGAATGTTAAATTAAGAAAAACGATTTAAAAAATATGAAAGATAATGAGTGAATAGCAACAATCCAAAATAAAAATAGAGCACTCTCAAATAAAAAAAAATTTCTGTTTTAAATGTAGAAATAAATAACAATGTCTCGCTCTTGTCATTGATTATCAATGAAAACAACTACAATACACACGAAATTTTGCAGTTTATGTATGATGTATTAGAATATTAAGGTTTAAGGATATATGTAAGTTTCACATTTTAGCTCCAAAGGAACTGCGCTAACAAGCTTTTATTATGATACATTGTTAAGTAAAAATCTGCTATGAGAAATTATTAAAACTAGAAATAAATTATGCGTAGGTGTATTAAACAACAAAAAAATATGACAATTCAATCGATTGACTTGATGTCACAATGACGCAGTATTGTAATGATTTGATGTTATAAGTCAAGTAAACAAAATCTCTACCATAACATCTGTTTTCTTCATTATAAAAGATTGAAATAAAAACGTTAAAAACTCTCCAGGAGGTCTTCATTTTCTCTATAAAATTCATGTGTCATGTCGTATTCGATTTCTTTTCTTCTTTTTTTTTTTTTTTAATAACTATAATGGCTTTAGTGCCTGTTAATACAAGAAATCGTATTAATCCAATATCTATACCAGCTCTTGAACCATCAAGAGTACCTTATGCAACTTATCATCAAGTTGAACTCTGTGCTGATCCAAATTGTCCAGTATGTCGAGCACAACGACGTGATCAACATTATAAACATCATAAACGACGTCATCATCACCATCATCATCATAAAAAACATCGAACGGATTTTTGGAATACTCTTTTACCAAGAGTTGAATCAGCATCATCAACTGTTACAATACATAGTATTGAACTAGATGAACGGCGTCCTCATTATAACTCATATACAAATGAACGAGCTGTTGTCCCTGTTAATCAAGCAGAACGACAAGTAGTAACAACAACAACAAGACCTAGACGTATTGCAGATGATGATATTGTTCGAGAAGCGTGGGTAAGTATTTAACTTTTGTTTTTCGATTTAAATTTATTAAATAGAAACTTTTTCTTCTCTTATATTAAGGTCAACAATCCGACACGTGATGATGAAATTGTTTGTTGTCGAGCATACGATGGTTGTCGATGTCCATGTTGGTGTTGTATTATACTTATTATTATTTTTGTCATACTTATAATCATTTTAATTGTTCTTTTAGCTACACTTCTTTGAAAAAAAAAGGAGATTATCTTGCATCATATTTTCTTATTAAAACTACCCTAAATATGTCGAATATTCTTGTAAGACGTTCATTATATTATTGATGTTTATCATCGATTGTATTTGCTTGTCTAGAACGATAAATAAATTAGGATAGAATAAAAAAAAGTTTTAATAATCTTTTCTATCTTTTTAATATCCATCTGTACCAAATGATATTGTATATCATCGTAGAACGATCAGAAAAGTGAGTATCCAATTGTTTATGATTATTTACAATGAGGTAAAATATTTTCGCTTTTGATTGGAAATTATTAAGAACAATATTTTGAGAATAAAAGAAAAGACGATAGTGGCTTTAAGCCTTCTTCCCCTCCCCTCAGAAATGACCTTCCACTGAGTATGGTTCTTTTAGACTGAAATTTACAGGGATTATGGATGATTATTTTCTTATCTAAATAGCATTGTTAAATATCGAGTACTATGAAAAATACAAAAGGCATGTATATGGAACAAATTTATTAATTCTTTCGGAAAAATTTGTGATGTCTTTAAATCAATCTTAGCTAATTATGTGTCAATTTTTCCTCATTGAATTCATTTCACATGTTCTGAAACATATGATTAATACAAGGTGAACTGTTTTTTGTATCGATGATCGAGAAGTGTTCAAGTTTTTCTTTTTCATAAGAAAATCGTTAATAAACACTATTCTCAATTGTCGACACTCAGTGCAATACGGCAGTGCAACATTTTATACTGATATAAAATAACACAAGTTGATTCATTTATGCATGCATTCCTTTTTCGACGGATATACTCGATTGTACAGTTCGACGGTGCCAAAAAGTATCAGGAACCATGGTTTCGACTCGGTTTCCAAAATATCACGTAGAACCGAAACTGTTAAATCATCAGATAGATACAAGAGTTTTAAATATATTTTGAGAAATTTTCGCTGTTGAATTGTTGAGATTAAGGACGCCACATATTTCAGTATTTAAACAAAACAATATTATACATATATATTGAAATATTTAATCTCAAGAATGAAAAAAATGAAGATTTCTCGATATAGATTTAAGCATTTTTATATTTATCTGATGATTGAACGGTTTCGATTCACTTCTCGGTTCCAGTTTTTTGAAACTACTAAACTCTGCTCGTTTATCTCTTTTGTTCCGTGATACTGGATTAGCTTTTCTTCGATTTTTATAACATTGCATGTACAGTTTGGAGTGGAGGTCTTATATTCTCTGACATCCACATCCCGAAAGACTGTAGCGGCACATTGATGCTAATGAACATTAATTTGAATATTTTCATTGACTTATTCTATCACTGTTATTTAAATGTATCACTTTGATTTTTTAAATACAGGTTATCTTGACTTTTTCCATTGCTATCCGAACCTGTGAAAGGTGACAATACATATTAAAGTACACGTCAAGAATTGAAAGTAGTATTTCATTAACGATTTTCTTATGAAAAAAAACAAACTTTGAATACTCTTCTATGATTGATAATAAAAATATCAGTCCAACATCTTCGAACCGAATGGAGATAAATAATTTTTTTTATTGAAACAATATTCATGGTTTACCCTGCATAAATAATTTTGAAAAAGATTAAAATCATTTATTATAAGACATACTTGGAATTGATTCTTTAAAAAGATTGTAATCGTAGGCGGCGCGCCAGCAATGCAATAGTTAGCAATTGCAACCCCTAAAATAAATTATTGGAATCAATAAGAACTTATTGCTTCCTCTAATTTTTCACGCTTCCTGTATATTCTAGAGTAAAACTTTTTTATTCAGCATACATATATTCGATGTAATTCTGTATTTTATACATGAAGATTGAATTTTAGTCTCAAGAATTGTTTATTGCTATCCTGATTAGGGATGTGCAGTTTCAGTATACTGATCACCGATAAAGTCACACTGGCGTTCACCGGTACACTGACACTGGTGTTCACTGAATCAGTACATACACTGACACTGGCGTTCACTGAATCAGTACATACACTGACACTGGTGTTCACTGAACCAGTGCATACACTGACACTGACTGCACTTGTTGCACTGACGCACACTGGAACACTGACGTACTGATACTGAGTTCCATTGACTAGGATTTATACACAGAAGACGACGACATATTCCGCTTGTAATATGTGGATTAACAAAAAATTTTCATCGAATGGAAGCATATCTGCTTAGCAGCTCGGTTTCTTGGTTGAGATAAGCTACATACACTTTTACGTACATACACTTTTTTCACCATTGCATAAAAAGCTGTTAGCGCAACCCCTTGCGGGATTAAAAATGTGAAACACGATGTAGCTACTGCTTCCAATGTTCTAAAAACAGTTGTTTTCTATGCATATTGGCGTACATTTCTTGATCATGCCTAACTTTACATTACAGAGCTTGAACAGGATAATACTACATATATGCTCCAATCATATATTAGCTATGCATTATCTCTGATATTTCCTTGCAGCCTTCTATCACAGTCTATGATGGCTCCTGAAGGCCATCTGTTAGAGTCTATGATAGGTTCAAAGCCCTGTCAATCAGGGTCTGTGATGGCTCCTAAAGGCCATCTGTTAGAGCCTATGATAGGTTCAAAGCCCTGTCAATCACGATCTGTGATGGCTCCTGAAGGCCATCTGTTAGAGCCTATGATAGGTTCAAAGCCCAGTCAATCACGGTCTGTGATGGCTCCTAAAGGCCATCTGTTAGAGCCTATGATAGGTTCAACGCCCTGTCAATCACGGTCTGTGATGGCTCCTGAAGGCCATCTGTTAGAGTCTATGATAGGTTCAAAGCCCTGTCTGTCACGGTCTGTGATGGGTTCAAAGCCCTGTCAATCACGGTCTGTGATGGGTTCAAAGCCCTGTCTGTCACGGTCTGTGGTGGTTTCAAAGCCCTGCCTGTCACGGTCTGTGATGGGTCCAGAGCCCTGTCTGTCACGGTCTGTGATGGGTTCAAAGCCCTGTCTGTCACGGTCTGTGATGGGTTCAAAGCCCTGTCTGTCACGGTCTGTGATGGGTCCAGAGCTCTGTCTGTCACGGTCTGTGATGGGTTCAAAGCCCTGTCTGTCATGGGTTCAAAGCCCTGTCTGTCATGGTCTGTGATGGATTCAAAGCCCTGTCTGTCACGGTCTGTGATGGGTCCAGAGCCCTGTC